TCCCAGCACAGCAGGTCCTGAGGCCTGAGCCATGGCCAGGACATGCTCAGAGCTGGTGGCTGAGGAGAAATCTGCTTGTCTGGACACTCCCCAGCCTTTCTTTCCTCTTGCTGTGGATTTCTGAAGGGTTGTAACTGAACACCTCAGTGCAGCTGTTTCCCCCAGATGTTGCTGACACCTCCCCCTTCCTGAGGAAGCTCATCCTGCAGCTTATTTCAAGTTGGTTTTTTCCTTGCAGCACTTTTCACACAACTTCACACTGATGTCTAAAGGTGTTAAATCCATGTGAGGTTCATTAGCTTGTTCCTATTCCCCCCTCTCGTTCCTATTTCCCTCTCTCTGCCTTGTGTGTTGTAAAACAAAATATCCTGTCACTGCTGAGGAAGAAAACCAATTTATTTGTGGTCTGGGGAGAGGATGAACATGCAGCACTGTTGGGAAGGGGTGGAGGATATGACACATTTCTGCTCCCAGCTGAAATCTGTGTTCTGTGTTCCAGAAAAGGTGAATAACTTCCCTCCACTCCCCAAGTTCATCCCTCTGAAACCATGTTTCTACCAGAATTTTGCTGATGAAATTCCCATCGATTACCAGTTCCTGGTGAAGAGAATCTATCATGTGTGGATCTGTAAGTTGAATAAAAACACCTGTGCTGGAAAAAGGTATTTGTGGAGTAAAACCCCATAGATCTCAGTGGTTAATGTGCTTTAAAGTTTTGATGAGGAACAGTGATCCCCCTTAGAATACTCTAATATAACTTTATACCTGAATTTTAAGCTGTTGTGCCTTGACTCCTTGAGGGATCTTGAAGAAGGGAGGGTAACAGTGCTGGAAAAGTCTAATAGTTCATCTGAGGGAGAAAGCAGACTGTGTTTGATGTGTTTAATAATGTCAAATGATCACAGAATTCCAGACTGGTTTGGGTGGGAAGGGACCTCAGAGCCCATCCAGTGCCAGCCCTGCCATGGCAGGGACACCTCCCACTGTCCCAGGGTGCCCTAAGCCCTGCCCAGCCTGGCCTTGGGCACTGCCAGGGATCCAGGGGCAGCCCCAGTTGCTCTGGGCACCCTGTGCCAGGGCCTGCCC